TTTGCATTTACTCTTAATTTGTTCTGGCCCATAATAAGTTTCAGAACTGAAATATTGCTTATACAGTATTCTTTAATGATAATTACAGTGTCATAATGTTGTTTGTAAACTGGTATAAAAGTATGTTACCTGAATTAGTTGCATTTACGTTAATGATAGTGGCGGACTGCTGCTGTTGTTGCTGCTGAGTCGGCATCATTCCCATAACTGGTTGTTGTGTCGGTCTATTCATCCAGCAGCAAAATGCCGCCATACTTGACAGCATGTACATTCGATAGGTAGAATTCGAACCACGGTTATTGGCGCCGCAGAGACAAAGTTTTTTCAGAAACCGATAAATGCAGCATATCAGAAGGCATATCAGAAAAATGATTGTCCCAAAAGCTATCAAAATCCTAAATAGAATAATTTATTTAAAAAATCGAAAGCCAGCGTCGTAACGTTACTTGGATGAAAAGCGACATTACTGAATTCACTGTAAGGTTGCATAATTGAAAGATTCAGGCAGATAACACAGTTTTAAATTGTTCGTACTACCCTGAAAGTTTGTAACATTTATAAGTTTATTCATTTATACTACAGTCGAGTTATCAGCAACTTTAGTAACTTCCGTATCATCTTTTCGTATAAATACAAGTAAACAAAAGCGTAACTGCATCTAACTAATCATGAGTTAACTAGTTAATTAATCATAACTAATCTCCACCAGTTCGCAACCAGATTTTCTTTTTCAAAATTACTTTTGCCGGATTGGATATGGCTGAATTGAGCGAATTTGTTGTTTTAGGTTACAATATTTGCAGGTAATTAGAAATGATAGTGAAAACAAAAAATGACCTACTTTGCGGCAACCGTCAGCGAATAAACACATTTCGATTCAACACATTCGCCGTGAAACAGTGAACTCGTTGTTGCACACCTGAAGAATATTTAATTATATTCTATTCGAGACTTCACATCTTTAAACCAGCTTCATTCCTGAATCATAGTTTCAGGGAGTCATGAGAAAGCCATGGTTACATGGCGCTACTCGTTAGAAATAAGTTAGAGGCTCGTTACTGATTGGTTTCACTGCATACCGATGCTGATTCAACAACTGTCACGAGCAATCTTCATCTTCATCTTCCATCGCCGCTTCTCCTTCCGGGTCGCGGAGGCAGACGCGTCAGACAGTGCT